TTTAATTTGTGAAATGAGACTGTCACGCGATTACCTAGACGTCAAACATTTCTAGCGAACCTCCTACTTATAATCTCAAAACCAAAATTTACATACCAGCTGTCCGACTGGCGTATACAGTGCAGTGTTCGTCGCACTGGTGCGCACCTGGGGTGACCGAGTCCCCGAATGGGTTGTTAGGTACGGGCTACTGTACATCATTTTGGAAGAGATACACCTTTCCAGTGGCTTATGTTGTTATACGTTGAATACGCAATGACTTGGCGCATTCCCTCAGGTACTTAAGCACATAATACTTTACGCATAAAATGGTATAGCGCAGATAGTTTTCACCTTTCCATCATCTTGGCGCAGATGAACGGGATGGACTTGTTTACTTTAAACCACCTTTACATATACGCACCTTTCCTAACACCACTGTTGGTTCATATATATATATATGCATACTCGCATAAATATTACTTGAGGACAGCTTCACTTCACTACTTTAGTCATTTAGCAGCTGTATGCTCCTGAATTTGCAGTATGTCATTGTCAGCTTGTCAACCACTGAAATCATGATTAATTCTCTCAGAGTACATTTTTGTTCTTTTCAGGGGTGATTATTTTCTATAATAAAACTATTTACCCTTTAACGCCTATAGAAAACGTTAGCATTATAGTTGCGGGTCTCACTTAAATAAAAGCTGAACTTTAAACATAATATTCTTCCCGTTTATAAACGGTTAACGTTTATATGACCTGGCATCTCGTACGTACGCAGCTTCAGCTGATTCATATTGTTTTTCAAATTTAACGGTTTAGCGTGTAACGTTTTGAGCAGCAGTGAGCTAATTGAGTATCATACACCTCATTCATCGGTGTATTTACCTGAAGATTCGTCATTTCATCGATCACTCAAGTCTCAACACAAGCGTGCACTCGGGTGCCAACTGTCAACTGTCCCGTACGCCAGAGATCAGGTGCTGCAGCAGCGCTGTCGGGAACAACAGCACAGAGACGTGTTAGCGTTTTTAACCTCTAAACTAGAGAGAGAGACGTACCTTGCCGCCCTTGCGATAGAGGAAATTGTGATATTCTTCTGTTATTCTCTTTGTATTAGTTGCCATTTTTGGGTAAATACATATCTTGCCGACTTAGCCTCAGTATAGTAATATTCACATCGAATCGTCAAACTACAGGTAGCAGCTTATTGATCTAAAGTTCAAGTGTTGCTAACGCCACTCACGATGAGTTACTCAATCTCGAAGGTTCATTCGGTTGTATCAATTCGAACGGCAACACAGAGATGGCCTCGCTAGCAACAGAGATTCAACTCAATATAAAAGCCAAGTTAAAATACTAGAATATAGTGCAGGTTCAATGGGGGGTTCTTGTCGTTTGAATGCAGGCGCCCGTCTTACTCGCACTGCAGATGGGAAACCCGGATTGGTTTGCCTATGAGAATCTCAAGTACAGCTATAACGAAGTTCTATTGCTCAATGTATTTGAAGATATTCCGGACAAACGAGTGGCACCGCTCATAAAATCAAGTTGATGCGATAACTGTGTATATATACACAGGAGTCTCTTATAATACGTATAAGTGGTATGAGAGTGCAAGCTAGATAGCTTTTTTCTTCCCGCAGTGGATTGTACTAAGTTCAATTGCCGTGAATATAACTATCATTTTAAACTTCCGCCATAGCCCATGTCCACGAGACGAGAGTGTGGTTTTTGATTGGTGTCGGATCGGTGTGCTTGGCAGTAGCAGAATGGTATATCGTGGATTGTGTGTTTCACATCGTGAAGTAACTAGTGTTCACAATAGTGCTTTAGCAACTAGTCGAAATACTTCTTGAAGTCACACTCTTAAATGTGGGCTCTCCCGTTCCAGGTCACAGATTGACTGACACAGCTGGCGAAATCAGAGTGAGTAAAGTGCGTATCAATAAAGCAATGGTGCAACAATTAGACTTTGCCCTCGGGAATGTCGTTTCAGCAATGTTTCTTGTTTGAGTAAACATATTCTCAGTGCATGGTAAGCGTCCACAGACACCACGCCATGTCTTAGAGAATTTATGCGGTTGTACTGGCTATTGAGTTTTTGGCTATCGAGTTACTAGCTATTGAGTCACTAGTTATTGACTTACTAGCTATTGACCTATTAGCTATTGAGTCACTAGCTATTGACTTATTAGCTATTGAGTCACTAGCTATTGACTTATTAGCTATTGAGTCACTAGCTATTGAGTCACTAGTTATTGACTTACTAGCTGTTGAGTCACTAGCTATTGAGTCACTAGCTATTACTAGCTATTGAGTCTCACTAGTTATTGAGTTATTGGCTATTGAATTACTAGCTATTGAGTCACTAGCTATTGAGTCACTAACTATTAAGCCACTAGCTATTGAATTTAGGGTTGGCTGTTCTGGACGATACATAGCTGTTACCACCTTTCGGTGTGGTCATTGATGAAGCCAGGCGAAAACTCACCATGACCACTAAAGGGTCTGAACCGGCAGCCATAGTAGCGCCCTGGCTTCTGCCTGACTATGAGGGAATTGGGGAGACCCCCCTCTGGAATGAGGCTGATATCAATACTTTATTGCAGAGAGAACTACCGCCGGCGTGTTGTACCGCTACACCGGCAGCAGCGAAAGTATTAGATACCACACAGAAGGAACAAAGGCCGACCGTTCTTAATGGGCTTACGCCATACGCACACGATGTCCGCAAGGGAAACAGCGCCAGTGGCACGCTTTCAGAAGCGTACAACGGTAACCGTTTACCAAAAGACAGCTGCGCTAACCACCCCGGGCCTATCAGCAGCAATACAGTAACACAGAGAGAGCTCTCGACAGAGTTGCCGGCCCTGGATAGTGTGCCACCTCTACCCACACACAACAGCAACAGCCGAAGAAGTGTTATGGATACACTCAGCTACAGCCATCTGGATGCTGCCGACGATGGCGTGAGTGAGACTGGCACACCCCGGGAAGGGTCCTCGAGCAGCTCGAATGGGAGAGAGTGTATCACAGTGGACAGAGACACACCTACGCCTGACGCTGAAAGCTCGAGTCCGAGTATGCTGCCAGCCCAGTTCCCCTCACCTTCAGATATAAGATCTGTACGAGTTATGCCTACCAACGACTACTATAGGAACACCAACACCACCCCCTTGCCGAATAGAGCGGAAGCCACGCTCAGGGCTACGATTGGGTCCACGGTGGCTGTACCGGCGCAGCTGCAGGCGACCACGCCAACACGAAACGATCACGATACGATGGCGAATGCTGATGAGACTATTGTGAACACTAATTATATGACATCTGATCGGGCCGAGGCGCCCGAAACTCACCTACCAACCAGCTCACCAGCCCAAGGAGACCCTGGTCTACTACGCAGGCGGATGGCTGGGCAGAGCGTTGCCTTTGACCGAGAGAAGTGCAGCGGTAGTGAAACAAACATCTCGGACAGCAGCAGCAGCAGCAGCAGCAGCAGCAGCAGCAGCAGCAGCATCCCCGGTGTGTACTCAGCACGGGTGCGAAGGATCAGTGCGCAGAAGGGCCAGGACCAGAAACCACCTATCACTACCACGGGTGCGGGTAATAGAGGGTTTATTAGGGACACACACCGCGTAAAAACCAACAGGGCCATTGCGAACAATAGCAGAGAGGACATCAGATCACAGCCTGCGACAGATGTGCGGACTATCAAGGCAGAACCGCTTGCACGCGCGCCTGAAGCAAAGCAGAGACGTGAAGGATCCTGCAGCGGCGGGGTGAGTATACGGATGTGTGTGTGTAGGAATGGGTGGCTTTATTTGGCCGTGTGGTCTAAGGCGTTGTGTTCAGGAACTAACCTTTTTTTTCATTTCTGATAAACAATTGTTGTTTCGTATGGTTCATGTGAGACACACTTGCGTTCTTCTCTTGACACTAGTGAGTATTCAAAACTAAATGTGTATATGTGTGAACTGCACTGTCCTTGTTGTCGCCTTCCTATGTACTGTAGCTGGTATAGGGTAATAGCACGAGGCTGCTGTGTGATGTGCTTTCGATGGAGCAATGTGTACACTACTATGACTAAGGCGCACATAAAACACAATATCACGACGTTCGTTTCAGGCTACACCGACTGCTTTGCACCAACAAAGTATCCTTCCATATGAATGAGTGGGGGTGGACTATGACATTCCCTATAGATGGATAGCGGCTCATATATAGCCATCTGTACTATTAAGTATATGTAGAGAGAACAAGGCATAGCCGCAATGAATTGTGTTTGATAATGTATACGACTAAAGTGTTATTGGACCGCGTACTTCCGGGTGAGGCGAGTGAGGTCTGGTATGTGAGGATTGTGTTTGTACTGGTGTGGGTCTTATGTATTTCAAACCCTCTGTTCGATGACCCAAGAACTCCGCCTCTATATCTCGTTCAGTTGAGAACCTTTGTGCTGTACGCATGAACGTATATTGTCCCACATCGCACATAATAGCACACATTCACATCTCCACACTCTGGGTACCACGCTCAGCTTTATTATTGAATACTCCACTACAAGCCACTCCTACAACCTCTCATATGCCGCATACGAGAAAGTGAACAAATGAGTTTGCAATCAAAGACGAGCGGCGAGGCTCTATTGCATCGTCTACATTTCTCAAGTTAGGGCTGGCAGTGATATACGCATAGCTGTTGATGGAACTACCAAATATTTTTATAAGCTAGAAGAAAGAGTTGTTCCCCTTACCATGCCGCAGCTGATGAGCACCGCTTGTGTATCGGGGTAGCGATGATAGGATACGTGGAAACATCGGAAATGAAGTACTGAAAGCTTCAACTTTATTTATTGTCAACACTCACATTTTATATTTGCATATACACCACACCATGCACATGTAGGACTATGCTACAGTATATGCGGGATGCCAACACTTTCATGTAGGAAGTTCTATCTTGGACCGTTTTTGGGTGTACACACCTTCATACAGAAAGTCTTACCTTGGATTGTTTTTGGGTTTGGAAAGTCCTATTTTGAACCGTTTTTGTCCTATATCGCGCAGATATGGTGTGATAGTACGATAAACCTGTACACCCCGATCCACTCTCAAACCCACAGAAACTGGCACACGCATTCACAACACTGTACAAAGCGCTCGGCTTTCAGTGTGTTACTATGCCACTCTCCTGAGCCATGACGAACTATATATAAATAAACCAATCATGTTTATTCAAATCGTGCGTATTGCTGCTTGGTCACCGATTGTTACAGAAGTCCATCGGCCCCACAAACGGGCGCGCACGACAAGGCAGGAAACGGGGATACACCCCACGGTCAAGGAGTACACGCGTACGGCCACAGCACGAGACACGCACAGAGTCACTCTTCATACAAGGCTTTGCACACGGGAGTGTAGGTAGGGGTGTGCAGCACATATGGAATGGACACGGGGTGAAGCCCCAGACAACAAAAGGGTTACGTATGGGCGAGACGGACAGGCCTGCGCAGGTTGGTATAGCAAAGAGCTGCACGAGCCGAGATAAGGTTGGTGGTCGTACAGGACACGCTGGGGCGGATGAGGGCTGCTTTGCACCTGTGGCTCCCAGAAAAGGTGCAGGTGCAACGGAGCCCGCCGATGGTGGGGTGGTCGGTTCAAGCACCTTGTACCTGGGCTGTGTTGAAAAGTCCTCGCACAAACCACCGAGCAACCCAAACCACACACCAGATCAAACAGAGACCAACGCCTATAACCACACATACAGGGCCACCAGTCCCACATCAGGACAGTCAGGAAATAGTCAACCGCGTCGTGTATCTCCGAATATCGAGTCGAGGCCCGAAGTGTCCAAGCAGGGGCAGAGGATTGGTGCTGTTAGTAGCGTTGCCGTAGTAGAGTTACCAACGGCAAACGGCAGGGCTGTCTCTACTGCAATAAAGCACCCGAGCATGCACATACCACTGTGTCGAATAGAGGGGGTCAGAGCTGCCGATATATCGCACCCGGGGAGTGCGAGCAACGTTGGTAAGGGTATCTGCGTGAAGCAAGATGGAGCCCCACATAGGCCAACATGGAAGGTTGCAGAAGATAGTCAAGGGGCGCAGGGTATTGACCTGTGCTTGAGTGACAGCGACGAAGAGGACTCTGTCGACACTATCTTAGAGCAGACACAGGCACTGGAGGCCATAGACAACGAGAGAGACGCACTGGAAAGGACTACGGATGAATGCGAGGGAAGTGTGCATCCTACGAGGGACGCTACTCATGGTCTTATCTCTATCACTCATGGGTCTACCTCTAGTACTCATGGGTCTAACTCTAGTACTCATGGGCCTATCTCTAGTACTCATGGGTCTACCTCTAGTACTCATGGGTCTATCTCTAAAACGGGTGAATGCGGGGGAAGTGTGCATCCCCGTGGGCCTATCTCTAGTACTCAAGAGCCTACCTCTAGCATTCATGGGTCTACCTCTAGTACGCATGGGTCTATCTCTAGTACGGGTGAATGCCAGGGAAGTGTGCATACTACGGCGGATGGTACTCATGGGCCTATCTCTAGTACTCATGGGCCTATCTCAAGCACACCACACGAACAGGTTCAAGGTGAGGGAGGTGCAGACGTCGAAGCTAACTTGCCAACAGCGACGGTTGATGAAGGCTCCAGTGATGCACTAACGCATAAGCGTACGGTTGACCGAAAGGTTGCAACTGCAGCAACCCATGAACCAGGACACCCAAATGAGTATGCCAGAGCCAATGCGCGACGCACCCGGCAAGCCCACTCACCCGGTCTCGAGTGTGCACCTGGTGCAGGTTTTGGGGCGCAAGTATGTACTTCCGGCCCGCTGCTTGGATACCCAAAGGTGTCCACAAATGCAGGCAGTACGTGCGATCGATCAGCACAAGTATCACAAACCACGGATGTAGAAGCCGGCGGGTTATTGGGTGATAGCCGGTTGGATGTGGTTGCAAACACACAGTCAGCGCTACACAAATTGCATGACAGTACTGCGTCAGGTAATAGTGTTGAAGAGAACACAGACCCACCGCATGCCCAGCCCAGCACACCCCCTGCTGAACACACGCCAACCACATCCGGTATTCCTGACCTGTGCACCGACAGAGCGCACGCTGAAAACAGCACGCGCGCGGAGAAGAATGGCGCAGATGTTCAGGCCTCTGGGTCTCCTGTGCCCAACAGTGCCAACCAAGGAGGGAGCTCTCAGTATAACTTACGGTGCGAGAATAAACGCGCGGTGGTGGCTGCGCAGGGAAAGGCCCACAGACTTGTGGAGCAGGGAGTACCGAACAGTCCAGCAGACCCTCACGGCAACGGACGGACGCACCAACCTCTGGGACGATCCCGAACATCGGTTGAATCCACACTACACACCGCAGAGAAGCCCAAACAGACCGCCAAAAAGGAAGGCCGCACGAGGGCTACTAAGCGCAGGGCCGTAGGTGCAACTACAGCGCAACCAATGCGTAGCCTGCGTTCAGCTGCGAGAAGTTCTGTACGTCCAACGCCTGCGAGGCAGTCCATACGCACGAGACCACCCGCGGTACACCCACCCGCACGAGCACACGCGGTGAAGTCTACGGAGAGGCGCCTCAGCAAACGAGTACCTGAAGTGAAGATGACTGAAGTTGGCGTTTGGGACGCTGTAGACGCTCGGCGCTGTGCTAGTGCAGACTCTCCGTCAGAGAACACGTACTTGACTCTGGATGAGTTGAAACACTTGCCGTTGGACCTGTCGCATTACCCCGCCCACCGTACGTCACTCCCTAAGATTGTTAATCTTCTTAAGACTGCAAAGGACTGTACCATGCATGTCCCTGCAGGTCTACGCTGCTCCATAGATTCTAGGCTGAGGAAATGGGTGGGGGACAGTGGTTTTAGCGAAATGAGTAGGTCGGTCTATCGCAATATATCGCAAGGGATGAGTCCCACGGGCAGCCCCGGAGGAGACGACAATGCCGTGGTGGTGAACACTGTGATGTGTGTGACTGACGATTTGACTGAGAAAGACCCGGCTGATGTCACTGAGTCAGCGATTGAGAGACCTGCAGACACGGGTGGCACAGGGAACGCAGACTACACAGACGATGCGAATGATGTAGAAGACTCACGGTGCACGGATACAACGGCCGGTAGCATAGCCATCGACACCACGAATAGAGCTGAGCGGAGACGCACTGACCGCTCATCTGCAGCAGCCGTCGAGAGAGAAATGAGTGTTGTAGTCACAGGGAAGGAGACGAGTCACACAAGCATTGAACCGCAATACAACCGCCTGGAACAGAGGTGCGACGCCGAGTCGTACCGTAGGACCGGCGAGGAAGCGAATACGACGTGCGGGGTGTACAGCGCAACTGGAGGCGTAGATGACACGGCCGAACAGTCACACAGTACGACCGGTGACTGTGTGGGATTGGCCAGCGACGCACAGAACCCGACCGATGTGTCCCACAATACGAGGAGTGGTATATCTACAAACTCCGGCGGGGAACTCTGTATGACAAGTGGGGCACTGCATACGACCGGAGAGCCGCAGAACACCGCATGTGGGACGGGCAATACGACAGGTGAGACACAGGGTGGCACTGATGCAGCTGACACCATGGCCACTGACACGCACAGCGCGGCTGAAGGGACAGAGACACACCACTCAGCCAGTGACATGCACAAGCCCACGGATAGGACACAGGACATGGTATGTGAATCAGCCGACACTTGCACCTCCTCAGGTCTACCGACCGCACCCTGGCCAAACAAACGAACACACCCAGACAGCACACCCAATCAAATACGTAGTACGATATCATCCCCTCAACTGACCCAGAGTGGTGTTCCCGGAACTGCAAGGGAGCAACGAGCCACCACTGACTATGAGGAGAGCAGGACGGTAGCAGACCTAAAAAGGAGGGCCGCTGAAAAAGCCGCGGGTGGAAAGGGTCAGATTGCACCTGAAATAAACGGGGAGGAGAAAGCTGCGCCAGAGACCGGCGATAGCACTGAGTCAGTGGGTGAATGCACAGATACCATTACAAGCGCTGGTCAGGGCACAAGCCTGGGTATGGAGAGAGCAGGACGGTTAGAATTAGCGGAGCCGCACGACGTCCCATCCGCGGGTTCTAATGTTGTACTTACAAACGAAGTGCTGGACTCGTTGGTGCCGACGGCTGCTAAGGCCAATGCAAACGAAGACTTACGCGAATCCATCACAGCCACTCAGTCTGACAGCGTAGCAGCCGGTGCAGGCACTCAAAGGGAACCGCAGGTGGATAACAGCAGCACACTTACAGGCACACTTACAAGCACACTTACAGGCTCAGAGTCAAGTACACGCACACAGCCCAGTACCAACACACACCTGACGCCACGCGAGAGGCTACAAGCAGCACGACAGCGCCGATGGGACAAGCTAACCAACCCTGTGTCAATCCCAGCACGACGCAGCACCCTTAACAGCACGCGTGTACAGCGGTGTGAGGTGGGGGCCAACCCACACATCACGACTGAGATACGGCGCACAGACGCGCGAAGCCTCGCCCACCCTGACACGTATCTGGCGTATTTGCAAGGGGAAGGGCAAATGGAGTCCAAAATCCGGGAGGCGAGTGCAGGACATCGGACTTGTCCGGCCCGAGAGCGAAGAAATCGAGGTTATTGTTCAACTAGTAGAGGTCGCGGTATGGTCATGGCTACCAACCGGGACGCACAAGCACAGACGAAAGGTGCCGAGGATGGATCTAGTAAGGAATACGAAGCCACGAGTGATGAAAGTGATAGCTGGTCAGAGAACAAAGAAGACAGCCAGTCAGGCCACGACAGTGACACCGTGCGACGTACACCGCACAACGCTACCGCAAGTAATGGACACTACGCTATAGCCACCTCAGGACAACCCATTCCCATGCACACAAGGCACCAACGGGAACACTCGAGGGACTACCGAAGTGCTACAGACCGGACCCACAGGCTAACTGACACGCACCACACTACTAGCACACACACCAGGCACACCACGATCAGACTGGCCACTCCGCCTCAGATGGCAAGGGCGTACAACAACCGCAGCACCACAAGAGCGTGTAACACGCAAACTCACACGAGTGCGGGCGATGAACCGCTTCACAGCGATGCAGACAGCGACGACGAGAGCTTCGATAGCATTCCACGCTCTTCTCGCGCTGAATCCCGCGTGCTGTCACGCCGAGAAGCATCTAAGGATGTAGCTGGTCGAGGGGTGAAGAGGGCGACCAGCGCAACATGGCCTCCGCGTGTGCTGGCGAGGCAGTCTCCTGTCAGAACAGCCCGTTCAGCGACGAAGAACAAGAGAAAGCAGCTCACACGACAGTCCACGGCAGAGTATGAACCTCCCAGCACCAGTGACAGCAGCAGCAGCAGTAGTATTAGTGGTGGTGGTGGTGGGAAGGCGATGGGCAATACAAGGCGCCGGAGGGCTTATAACAGGGCCTCGAGAACCACCCGCCAGAGGGGTGCTGAGGGGGGTCTGAGTGGCACTAAACGTGATAGTACGAAGCATACGAAGCACTCGGTGCAAGCGGAGGAAGGAGTGGTTGAGGAAGAGTCCAGCTATGCGGAGAGTGGTGGCAGCGATGAACAGTCTGACTCAATCGCACGCGGCCCTACAACGGCGGTGCGGCAAAGTGAACTGCAGACCCGCGGCACTAAACGGCGCCGAGACAAACTGCGGCCGGACCAAGCAGATGGGGATAGTAGAGATCAACTACTACGTACAACGAGCCAGGGAAGGGCAAGTGCGACTACGGAGAAGGAGAAGCACTCTGTCGTATCCCGGTACGGAGACCGTACCAACCCACTCCCATTCGACTGTCCACAGGAGGGGTGTGGCAGACGCTTCGAAACGCTGCATGAGGTGTACGAGCATCTGCATGCGTATCACTGCACCACGGCGGAGACGAAGCCTTATGCGTGCGAGTTGGAGGGGTGCCACAAGCGCTACGTCACCCGAGGTAACCTAAAACGGCACTACACAACCCACACCGGAGAGCAGCCGTACGCGTGCACATGGACGGGCTGCGGGATGCGGTTTGCCGGGAAGCCCACGCTCCTCAAACACATGGAACAAAACGCCGGCATGCACCCGTACGCGTGCACGCACAGCGGATGCCGTCGAGTGTTTCAGACCGAGCGCCACCGCAACTTACACACCGAGAACCACTCAGCTGCCCACCCACACACATGTCCCATGTGGGGCTGTGGGAGGGGCTTCCAATCGGCGGCGGACGTTGCAACACACTTGGAACGTTATCATGACGCACTCCCGTACGACGGAGGCACCGGGCCACTCAAAGCGGTGGAGATGAGCTATGGCACTAGACCACTCACAGCGGTGAAGATGAGCTATGGGGAGCGGCTGGCGAGGCAAGAGATCGCGCGTGCGAATGCCTGAGAGTCGCCGGACAGTACGAGGGTAGACCATCGCACGCGTACTAGTACACCCGGTAGGCAGTATGTAGGTAAACCCTCGCACACGTACTAGTACACCCGGTAGGCAGTACGGAGGTAGACCATCGCACACATACTAGTACACCCGGTAGACAGTGCGTAGGTAGACCCTAGCGCACGTACTTGTACACCCGGTAGATGGCCCATCCTTCCTGCAACTAAAGAAAGCATTATATACGAGGCTACGCATTGGTGAAAATTCTATACATTTCGATATACCAGGATCGCGGTTTACTGTGGTAGCATCATCCCGATTCTAAAGTTACTAATAGATATATAAAATAAGAGTGACAGTCGGTCTATATACGGCAGTACGGGTCAGCACTCAAGTGTGCACAGAACCCTAACAAGTTTGGTGCCGTGAGGGACGACGAATGGTATCAGATAAGCGTTCTGTATATTAAATCGGTAATAAGCTTGTGAGGAATAAAGTGATAATAAGCAAAGAGCCGCATGGGCAGTGTGTAGTGTCACTCTTCGTGGTGGGCAGAAATATGTTCTGTAGGTATTCTGAACGAGGCTGGCTGGCAATTATTAGAACTACTGATGGAAAGGAAGTACAACTATAACTATACACTCCTCCATTCCAACCCCTTTATTTGAACCCCTGAATCAAATCCGCGTTCCGGATTGAACTGAGTGACTCTAGTTCCTTTGGAAAGTATGCTAAAATTAGAATCTCTAATGTACGTGCGCATGCCAATAAACAGTCGAGGCCCTCCACATAGCTACAGCAAATTGAGGGCTTATGAACAGCATGGGTCATGTTTTACTGGCTCGGCTGCCAGTTTTCATACTACTCGTTGATACTTGAATGCCCACCATACTCACTTCGCCTAGGAACCTTTACGGTTATGGGTGTGTGCGAGTCAGTTTCGAACATATACGTACTGTTGTACTACATATGTGGCCATGATAAGATTGATAGACGTTACAATGTATGTATATGTGTACATTGAATTTTGACAAACTCACACACTATACTTTTAACTTAAACTTATACGCTGTACTTTTAACTTACACTTTTAACCTAAACTTACACGCTGTACTTTTAACTTACACTTTTAACTTACACAACTTACTCACTATACTTTTAACTTATACATACTTACGCACTGTAATTTAGCTTACACAAACTCACTCACTATACTTTTAACTTAACAAACCTACACACTGTACTTTTAATCTACGCAAACTCACTCACTATACTTTAAACTTGCACAAACGTACTAATTATACTATTAACTTGCACAAACTTACACACAATACTTTTGGGCTCCTATACCCAGCTCCAAATACCTATATAGCTATATATAGTTGTTCAACTATATATTTAACTACAACTATATAGTTTAACTATAGCTTCATATTTACCCCAAAACAACTTAGGATTACACGCAAAACACTGATTGGCATTTAATTGAATGCAAAGAAGGCATGGTTCCTATGCATGAACCGATGCTCTCGAGGACAACTGAACTTGAAAGATCTCATATAAAATCAGTCAAACTGTGTATTGAGGGGTAGGTGAATGACGGCAAAACTTGATACACACATAGACACGCTAAATGTTTCCAGCTTGAAATGACCAACTCGAAATACGTGAGAGTTTACAGAAGACAGTGGGAACATGCCATGTACTAAAGATTTAAGATTAAGTGAGGAAATACAATTCCTTATGCGTGAACAAATATGCAAAGTAGTGTAACAAAATAAAGAAAAGACTTTGTCAACAAGTGATATATATATATATATATATATATATATATATATATATATATATATATATATATATATATATATATATATATATAT